AATGCACTATCATTTAATTATTTTTCAAGTTTAAGTGGGCTTTATGGAATGAGATCATGCCTCAAGCTTCTCAGTTGAGGTTATTTCGTTTATAATGGGAAGGAAAAAAGGATTGAATGTGTCTAAGTTATTTAGCATTGCTTCTTCTGAGACGCAATGTGCATTTTATACTTCTCATTGAATTTCAGGGCTACGTCTTTTTATAGCACGATGGGCAGAAACTCTGCTTAGGAAGTAGCCAGGAGACTCACGATTTAGTAGATCACATCTCGTGTTCTGTACTAACAAATATCAGTGATGACGTAGTCTGCCATGACAGAGGCCAGTGCCATTAAATCTGTAAAATCTGTGCAGCTTTGGTAAGGAAAGTCTCAGGGAAGAAGCTGTTTGTTTTGGTCTTCTGATATGATGTTGTCTTACCCGGGAAGCCTGGCAAAATAGTTCTTGTCCTGCTGTAACTTGTCCTAATTTCGTGTAAGTTAGTTCTCTAGATGAATGAAAAGGAATTGAAAAGCATGAGGAGAGAGGACTGGGGTCCTTTTTCCTGCGATGGCTGCCAGTATAGGCTGAAGAAATAAACCAAAACTGGCTCTGGCTGCAAACCTCCAACTTCAGTAACCTGAGCTTTATTTTGTCCTGTGGTAGAGCTGGGATCAGATAAAAAGACAGATACATCTTTGCTTTTACTCATGTTTCAAGATGCAAGTCTTGGAATTCAGTCTTTTCCTGTTTATGTTGCAAGTAAACGATGTGAGAGGGAGATTGCTTCTGATGCAGGTATCAAAAGTGTTAAATAAAACATTAAATAGGTCACAGGAGGAAGAGAATTGGATGTAGTTTATTGGGAGAAATAGACATAGTGTAGATAACATGAGCTAGAGGAAATTTATAATGAAGAAGCCACGGCTCAATCCCATACATGCAGATAAATCAGGAACCTGATCAGACAAAAATGCTGTTTTCATTTATTACATGGATACCCTTAGGGTTTTGTGCTGTGGAAATTTTATCTGCAGTCTATTTTACTTACCACTATAATGAAAGTTACTGTGCAATTGGATAAAGGAGCAGTGTAAAGAAAACCAACGTATATATTACCTAAAATGTACTGATGGAATCTGAAGGGTGTTAATTAATTACACGTACTTTGTAGTCTTTGGTTTTCTTCTCACTGTTTTGAGTTTTGTCCCTATGTACAGCCCTTTCTCAAATGTGGAATATTCCTGTCTGCCTTTTCATGTCTACCAGCTGTCACATGCTCTTCCTAGTCAGTCACTGCTGGGGATGGAGACAGGATAATAACGCTTGTCAGGGCATCAGCAAAGGTAAAAGAAACTCCTGAGGGTCTCGTGGCTGTAGCGTAAGTCCATCGAAGTGCTCCCCCAGTGCAGGATCTGGATTGGGATTTCTGTAGAACTCGGAGGTTGGTTGGCAGGGATCGGAGGAGGAAGAGGAGACAGTGGTCTGTGTGCGGGGGTGCTCAGGGAGTACCGCAAATGTCACAGAGCTCAGCAGACCGTGGCCTGGAGATCCTGCTGTGCCACTGACTTTCAGCCAGTCACTCCCCTCTCGCCCTGTCTTAGGCCATCTTGAAGAGCTCAAAATAGAAAAGGTCGGCATGGCTCTTGTGCAGTGATGAGCGATGTTAGCTGGAGCCTCGAGGAGCTGCTCTAAATCAAGTTAACAAAAGTAATAATCAGATCAAACTCACTCTGAACCTCCCTACTGTTGATGGGATATTAGGGACTGTTCAACAGCCTGGCCACCACCCAGGTACTTAAGGGATGTACCAAAAATGCTAGAGGAATTGAGTTGAATAAGGTTGTTCAAATGGTATTTGAGTAGATAATTAAATGAAATACATGCCAAAACATTATTCTAGAATTTAGCAATTACCCCCGTGCAGAATATATTTGAAGTAGGCATGTGTGACTGAAAACACTCATTTCCATTCTGATAAACAAACCAGGAATTCTGTCTCAAATCTTGCGTCTGCCTAGTACTATGTGAGGACAGAAGCTGCCCTGAGACCTCAGTGTGCAGGCAGCCTCCTTCAAAGCTGCAGGTTTGGATAGTGCTGTCCGGGCTTGGAGCACCAGCAGAGAGGAGGTCCTTTGGCCAATATCTGCGTCACCCTTACAAGAGCCTTTGCTGATGGACTACAAGAGGACAGTGCTGTACACTGGGATGGTTTATTCCCTTGGTTGTATTCATTGCACCACCTCAGGCTAGATGCACAGGAACAGGGATAAAAGAAAATATATTAAATTATGAAAAAGGAGGTGAAGTCAGAATTACTTGACTTTTAATTGAAATTCTGCTTAGTGCGTTAAGAGATTTGCTTAGAGCAGTATTTACAAAGATTTGAATTGCTTGCAGGTTTTTCTTACACTTTTCCTTTACACTGAATCAAGCAGTGGTCCAGCACACTACTGAAAGAAAATGAATACTGACTAGAGAAATAATATTGTCAAAGACCATGGAGGAACAAAATTGCCAGTAGACTAGCAAACCAGTCCAGCAAGGCAGGTTTCCATTTATTCTTAGTTATGTATTAGGTTATTTAAAATAAATAAAAAAACCCAACAAAACAAACAAACAAGAAAAAAACAAACCAAAGAAGATGAGGATGTTTAAGATTTTAATTACTGCACAGAAGAGTAAACATGTTTGCAGCTGTACTAAAAGATCATTTAAATTTTCAATTTTCATTACATTTCAATGTAATCGATAGAGATTTGTTCAAATGACAGAATGAGGGAAACTGCAAGTTCTTATAGATTTGTTTCTGATGCACACTTGCGAAAACAAAAGGTATTTTATGAACACCTCCTAAAAATCAGAACCTGACATGTTTAATAATGGCCTTGAAATCAAAGCCTAGGCCTATGGCTAGTCACACAAAAATAATGTGACATTGAAATGTTTTAAATGCATGATTGATTATGTAGTACAAAAGATCCTTAAAGTTTTTAGCATTTACTAGAATTAGTGTGGTTGAAAGATGTGAGATACTTATAGTGTCTTTTTATTACAGGTTTTAAAATTCAGAAGTGTAGTACAGATTCTGTGACACAGGATTTGACTATTATCATAGGAGAAAATCAGAGAAAACCTAATTCTGAATATGTATTTTTATTTGCAAATTTCTTACTATATAGCAACTTTTCATTGTATGCCAGACAGTCACAAAGAGCTTCAACCCTCAACTACTCCAGGTGGTATGTATTAGTGCAGCATGCAGGAATAATCTCTGTTTTATTTCATGCCAAAAATTACAGTAATCAGCAGAGCTGTTTCCTGAAGAATCCTTCACAAGGGTGTAAGAAAACTTGTGCTTATTCCAAGACACTGAGTTTTATCTGTTTATCAGTACAAATCCAATTTGAAAATGCTAATTAGTTTTGAAATTAATAATGACCTTTAGACTGAGTGCTGAGATAAGATTGAAGTAGGAGTCAACAGAAAGTACAGCTGTACATCCGAACACCAGAGCAAAATGTTTGTTAGCTCTGCAGTTCTTTACCTAATTAGTTCTTCGGTATCTTTAGATCTACAGTTCTAAACTAGACATTTTCCTGAAGCTCAGTTTTACCAGGAAGACCTAAACTTTACCAGGTATTATGATATTTGGATCAAAGAATGGATTTAGCATAGATCTTGGAGTCCACCCTTGGCCAAGGACTTCCAGTTCGTTTCTACAAAGAGCACTTAGTTCATCATCCTAGTAAAATGGTATTTCTCTCTGTGATGTCTAGTCTTCTGAAGGCTTCTTATTTTCTTCCACGTGTTTTGAGCACAGGTGATCAGCTGCCACCAAAGAGCTCGGTTTCCAGTGGGACCAATCCTGGCACCCCCTCTTTCTGTTTCCTGACTCCTCTCTCACAGCAGCAGCAGCACGGTCATAACTGCTTGCTCCTGTTGCAGGATGAGAAGCACTCAATCCTACACCTTGTCCCCAGGCAAATCCTGCTACAGCTGCCCCACTGCAGCCCTGTGGCAGCTGTTTTCTTAAACTGTGTCATCTAGCCCCATGAGAGGCTTTGCAAAAGCTGGGTTAGAGCATCTTGGCTCTTGCCCTTTGCTTTCTTCTTGCACCTAAGCCCGTAGCAGCTAACCCAACCCAACCCAACCCAACCCAAAAATAGACACAAAACCAAAGCTGTTGAGGTTTGAGGGCTGACATCTGATGATATTGCAGATCTTTCATTTTTGCTCTCTTTCATTTCCTTGTGAACAATGAGATAAATTTTGATCAGCTGTATTTTGAACATGTAGCGTATCTGCCAATAAATACTGATACTATTTTATCTTTGTACTTGCTATGTAATGTAGTTTCTGAAGTTATACAGTTGCATTACAGTTTCCATATATTTATGTTGATATTATATTGTCTCATATTCCTGTTGTCTTGTTCCTTCCGTTCTTCTATTGCAAGCAGTGCCACATTTTTTTAAAAAGAGTTGTAGGTGGTAAAAAACATTAAGATTTAAATATATGAGTGAGATTTAAATATATGAGTGCTTCTTAATATGATTTATTCATTACTTATTTCCACCAAATTTTGTATTTAACACTTAATATGATTCTTCATAGAGGCAACAAGAGAGCATTTGACTACGTTAAAATTATAGATCTTGTACTGATAATGAATTCAGTATAAATTTTGACGACTGGCATAAGCTAAGACTGGATGCAGTCAGACAACTTAGGTGCTAATTTTCAGCCTGACAAGTTTTGACATGACAAGAGTATAAATTCTGTTTGCTTTTGTCCAGATAACCTACTAAAGTCAATGGAGAAAGTGAGACAGATTTTTAACTTGACAACTTTTAACATCAGTAAAATTCTCACTCAGGAGTTCTTACTTACTCAACGTGTTGTATTTCTAATGAGCGCTCTTGTCATTGAATTGAATGGGCTTCGATTCAAGCAGCATTCAATTTCTGCACCACTTGAAAAGCAAATGAAAAAAACCCAGACCATAGTAGGTTATACATAATACTTGAACAGAAAATCTGATCTTGGTAGAAGCCCCAAGGAAAAAAAGAATGTGTTTAAAATCATGCCATCTAGTCTGAAAAAATTGAGTCTTGAATAGAGTTATCATCATCTTGTGATGATAATTTGACATCGCAACAGAATTGTATTAAAAGTACTCAAGTGTTTCTTTTAACTACAGTGCTAAATTTCATGGGGTTTTGATATTTGATTTCAGGATAATTGCAACATCTATGAATACTTTTTCAATTTCAGTTAATGATGTGCTCTCTTTTTTAATTGATTGTTTTATCCCTTCTGAGAGTATTAAATGAGCTGTATGTAAAATATATTGAGATTCATTGATATCATTGACCATTTTTTCAGTATGCTTTGTCTGCATAAGTAAATACTTTTAAATCATGTAGAAAAATGTTTAATTAAAAATCTTTTGGTTCTCTTTTCAAATTATAGTATTATTATTGCAGCTTTCCAAGTGTGGTCCTTGAAGCAGTGTTACAGGAGGAGTATGTGATCTGTTTTCCTCCTG